CCAAGCAGACTGTTGAGAAACTACTCAACGACCATGACAAACAGACTGAGAATGCCAAGGTTGGACTTTTCATGTGGCGAAAGTTCTTGTCTCTTGGTGTACAAATTGTACTGTGTGTAATGAAATACCACGGTGTATAGGCTAAAGAGGAGTATTGTACATTATTTGAAGCTCAAGTAGCGCTACGTCTTCATGTTGTTGTCTGTGTTGAACAGAGATTATGTAAATGTGTTGGCCGTGAAGGTTTTCCTAAACTAATGTGTGTGTATAATGTTAGTTTCCTCTCGATGCCGGAGCACTCAAGTGTTGCTTCTTCTTTGCTGTGTTTATGTTCAATAGTTGTACTTAATGAGCAAAAGGAGCTTTACATAGTCGTTGGATACTTCACATGTACCAACATCACATGAGGTTATCAAATTTCCGTAGCGTTCATTTAATACTCACTGCTGAAGATAATGCATATGCAGAGTTAATACAGTATGAACTTATTGGCGAGCGAAGCGAACCTTTGTAGTCGTCTGAATGCGAGATGCATTATTATGTCTGCACTTAACATGCCGTGCTGTTTTACATGATTCTAAACACTGTATGGGACGTGACACACGCGAAAAGTTGAACTGCTCGCTTCACTTGCCAAAAATTCATTGCTAAGAATGTTATCCGCCCACCAGAAAACCTACAAGTATGGGTGTGACCTGGTGTCGGCGGCCCAGCGGAGCCGGAAGGCCAGTCGACTGGAGGACTCTGACAACACTGACCTGCTGTCGGCCCTGGCGACCCAGTGGGAGGGGCTCTCAGCTGCCCTCGTCGAGGCCAGAGCTAGACTGGAGGTGGCCCAGCAGTTTCATCATCTCGCTGACGAGGTGGGGCTCTAATTGGGAATGTGCAGAGATGGGCATAATACACATACATATAATACTGTCCACATAGATCATGCATATGCGTATGCGCTGATGCTAGCCCTTTTTTGTTCAGCAGGCATAAGCTGTCTAATTTACATGTAAATGATTCTCATACCGTCACATACAGCATGTATCACAACTACAACACCTATATATAAGTGATGTGTTGTGCTACATTATTCATGCCTCTGCTACATTATGTAACTTATCTAGACATAAATCCCTATTAGTCTTGTGAGCCAGCTGATTTCTCCTCGGAAAATTGGCTGGCCAGTACGACTAATCCGCAGTTAACAGTATGTCCATCCTAGAGGTAATCAGGAACATATTGAGTTATATAATCATTTGGTAAAATTACGGTAAAAACTGAAGTATACATTAGGTGGGCAAGGACATTGAGATACACGGTGCAGCAGTGCCCACACTATCGTGTATTGCAGTGTGTGCAGCATCGACTGCTATCACACGAATGATTCCTAATGGGGAACTGTCCAATACGTGTGTTTAGGGGTAACCCCTGATATTCAGTGCATGTGTCTTACTTGTGACGTTACAGGTGATGGAATGCTACTCTCGGTGGACCACACCCATTCATCAGCTGGCCAAGACTCCGCCTACTGTGAAGGCTCATCTCACAGATCTCTCCACTAACAAGGAAGGATTTTCCCAGAAGATCACTGAATGCCTCAGTAAGCACATTACGTGCATGAGATTGGCGATTGGAGCATTGTAATGTCGAAAGTTTAACGCAAACATGAAAACCTGCTGTCTCGTTACCGGAACCAGTTGAAGCACTGATATTTTCACTAAACGTCTCCAGGTTCCACGGAGGTGTGCGAGTGCAAGACAGACAAAGCCACATGGCACCATCCCTTTATCCTTGTTGTAATGATTAATAAGCACCTGCGATCAGACAAAGATATAGGGATGGTGCCACGTAGCTTTGTGTGTCTTAGCTGTGAAATGACCCCTTGTTTCTTCCTTTTTCATGTTTTGAGCTACCCCTACATATCCTCCTTCATTTTGAAAAAGTGATTTTTCCACTTGTAGAGATAAAGTGTTGGGCTCATCGGGATAAAACTTAAAATCCTGCCAATTTAAAAAGGAGGCATATAGGGATGGAAAAAAAGGGATGGGATACATGAAGCATGGTTAATGAACAGATTTGAGCACGCTGACACCATCACACAATCCCTATATTGTTGCCTGGTGTGCTACTCTTATAAGGAATGTGACATTATATAAGGGCTAAAGGTTGCTAAAAGCAAGCATTCTTTCACCATGTCCCTGTTGTTTTTAGTAACATTTCTACTTTTATACTGCCACATTCCGTTTAATTAAACTCCACTTGGACTCGTTGGTTTCTCAGTAGCATGACCTTTTTGTGTTATAAGTTCTGAGTATTGTAATGGTGAATGTTTAATAATTCATCTAGGCAACAATATAATGCACGATAATTACATGAATCATTTGGCTCAGTAGCCTCATCACAATGCTCTCTCCCACAAAGTACATAGACAAAAATATTCACACATATGACAAATGCACCCCATTTGTCCCCGTCCCAGAAATTGGAACCTCTCTGCTGGACCGCATGTGTCGACCTTTGACCTCCAACCCTGCCTACCGCAATCTCAACGAACCCACTAAGCAGAGTCTGGCCTTCCTTCGCTCCAGACTACAGGTATACATTGTACACACACCCACTGTCATTATCATGTGGATATGATTATAATGTACAGTTGGGTAAGTATTGGATTTGTGTCAATCAAGTTACATACTAGGTCCTTAATGGAAATTTTGAGGTTTATGAGTCATAATCATGCTCATTGAATGAGCACAGATCCACATTTCAAAACCTTAGCTCGTGCTACACTCTATTTGCAAGGGTACCAACTCCTTTACATGCTCATTGGAAGCGCTATTGTCCATGCCGATGCACTTTTTCTGTGTTTTGTGCGTACTGTGGATGCAAAAATGAGAGAAAAGTATGTCCCACAAGTTAACGTGTGTTTCTGTACATGATGCATGATGTGGAAGAAAATGTGTTGTTTGCCGTGATATCAGGAGATAGAGAGACAGATGGTGGATCTGGAGGCTGTCCTGTCTCGTCAGGAGTCAGTTCTGACGGAGTTTCTAGTCTACTGTCAGTTTGAACACAACATGGAACAGGTATAGATGTATATGCCGTGTTATCCAGAGGATTTTACAACACGTGTACATCATAGGGCAAATGACGTACAGTAATAGCAATTTTACATTTGCAAAATTCATTGGATAACAAGACCCTTGACTATATTAAAGCCGATTTTTGACATCCAGTTTGATTACCTCACTTCACCAGTTTGCTATTATTGCCACGGCCGAAATTGAATACTTTGCTGGGGGGCAACACTCTTACTAAATGAGGGACTCTTGTGTGTGTGTGTGTGTGTGTGAGGGGGGCTTAAAGATGTGTGTCTGTCTCCTAGTATACTGTTTGCTCACGATGCTGACAGTGTGTTGCTGTGCCCCGCCCACAGGTCCTGGTGTGGATGCAGGACGAGGGTCTCAAGTCCATGCAGAGGTTCACTGTCGTAGGAGAGACCCACAGCACCGTCCAGTCACAGTTGACCCTCTTCCAGTCCTTCAGCTCTGCCTGCCAGGTTTGTACATCCTCGTGTACCTACTGTTACCGCTCTTCCATTTAATACTCTTTGGGGTCCAAAGCCACTCTAGCATTTTACGTTGCTAGCATGCAAAGCAACATGTATGAAAAGTAACGATGAGTTCATCACCTTACTGTCATGCTATATGCACATGGTAGTTTTTATATTGCTTACAGGAATGGAATTACGTGCGTAAATTGGGCCCTGAGGAATATTAAAATATGTACGTACATATGTACACATCACCCCTCTTCCTCTCCACACTGACTTGCCCCTATCTGCCAGAAAGTGGCTCGTAGTCATGCTCCCCATCATGCTGCATGCCGTGGGAGGGTCCTGTAGAGTGAGGCACGCTCATTACACATTCTTTCAGTTTACCTGTAGGTATAGCTTGAGATCGAGAGCCAAGATATTCGTATTAACAGAGAACCTGATGAACAAAGTTATCCGTGCCCACACTTACTCATTAGAACTTAATAGGCGTTTTCATTTTAAATTGTCAATTAATAAGGGCTAAAATTGAATGTTAGTAAAGGTGAAACTAAACAATAGGGCCCAGTGCAAGAATGCAATTACAAGTTTCCGTTTTTAGTAACAGTAGCTCTTGAGTGCGAGTGCTATATATGTGTCTGCATGAAAATCTTTCTGTAGTAATTGTCGGAGCTTATGTTCACCCCCTCCTCGTGCTGTACTCCCTGTACAGGAGAGAGGAGACGAGGTGAGGAGACTGGTGACCTCTGCACCCAGACAGGAGGCGGAGATCACGGGGTTCAAGTCGGAGCTCACGAAGAAGACCCAGAGTCTCTCGGCCGTCTGGGACAAGTTTGCCTCTCGACTGACGGAGAGGGAGAGGGCTCTGCAACTTGCCGCCTCCTTCTACGACCGTGTCATGAAGGTGATCAACATAAGACAGGGTTTTTTCTTTTCAGCGGGGGAAAATTTGGTACTAACACAGACAGACAGTAATGTTTGCACACTTTCCCTTCAGTACAAGGGGGGGGGCAATCCATTTTAAGCGGGTTGAAAATTCCCCCCTTATAAGGGAAGAGCAAGGTGATATATATATATAGGTCAGTGGCCTGTAGCATGTGTAGCTGGTACACAGTTAACCCTAGTTGCAATCTCTATTGTATGGATAGGTCTAGTATACTTTGGGTATATGATCAACTTCTGCTCGACGTGTCTCCCTCATAAACTCCCCACGTTTGTTAACTGTTCATGCCAACCCAGTTTTGAAACACCTGGCACACTGTTTGACGTGCACTGAATAGTTCACTCTGTCCCAGCCAAACAACCTCTCCTGTGTTACCAGTTGTTGAGTTGTGTGTAGGATTCACTAACAAATCTATAACGTGTATACATAGATCACTGAACTGGCTATCACTCCTATTATTATTTGTATACGTTTTTTGATGAGGAGAAATCTTCATTATTTGGACATGCGAGCCCAGCTAGTCATCTAAATGCCGGATTTTTTCATATGTTATCTCTGTAACAGCGAAGTGGCACATATATACCATATTGAAGGTTACGCGCTAAAACACACATGAAATATTGAACTGCTCTCTTTGCTCGCCAAAAATGTGTTGCATTCCTCAAGTTGTATTTGTACAATCTGTAATTGTTCCCCACAGCTGCAGTCCCTGACGGGGGAGCTAGAGTCCCACCTGAGTACAGAGGTCACCTCACTCCAGTCCCCACTGCGACCCTACCTCGAGAACCTCTCCACCCGACACTCTGAGATGACGACTCTCTTTCGCCTCGTGTTAGACGACGGAGCCTCCCTGGTTGAGATGTTCAAACCAACGGGAGAGAGTGCGGGGGACAGCGGACGCTCAGCACGGATATCGGCTCAGATATCGAATCTTCAGACACACTGCCAGCGAGTGGAGCAGCTCTGGAGCGACGCCTGGGGGAGAGAGGGCGGGGCAGGGGCGGGGAAAATGACAACTTCTGGTAGGAAGACCACTGGAGGTGGGAGGACAAGTAACCAGCCCACTAAGAGAGAGAGTGTGACAGGCAGAGCTAGTGGCCAGGTTAAGACGGATGAGCCTTCTGGCACAAGGGGCCGGAGTCAGAGTAAAACTTCGTTGCCCAGTCAAGCGAGTGTAGCTAAACCGCGTCAAACCAGTCAGGCAAATGCAAATAAAGTCAAACCTGGTCCTACAACTAAATCAGGTCAAACCAGTTCAGCTAAAGCCAGTGCTACAACAAGTCAAACCAGTACAGCTAAAGCTGGTGCTACATCAAGTCAAACCAGTACAGCTACAAGTCAAGTTGGAAAAACTCATCAGACAAATACCAGTGTAACGGTTTCAAGAGGCTCTGGGGACGTTGGTAAGAACAAACCAACGGGGAGGGTAGGGAAGGCTGCACAGAGACTCAGCTCGCCCACCTACACCCAACCTCCTCCTCCTACTTCAACACCCACCACCTCAGCTGCCAGAAGTGGTGGAACATCCTCCAAGAGCAGTGAACCCAGAAAAAGAGACTCGTTCAAGGCTCGTGATAAAGGGGCATCACCTACAGCAGTGGGACCTGGAAACAGCAGTGCCAAAAGGCTCTCAGACACATTTGGGGACCTGGAAGCTGAGGCATACAAGGTGAGTCAACAGACATGTGTGTACAGACAACATTTTTTTACAGAACCAGAGTGTTTTTTCATCGTTGTTAGGGCTGTGTTTTTGGTCGTGTGCTGCTGACCCTGATTGTTTACGGAGTGTGTGTCGTATGTTATTTGTGTACTTTTGCTTTACAAATACGCTTGGTCCAAATGTTTCAAGGGCAGCAGCACAAAAACAATGTACTCTCTACCCCTAGCTACATATTCATCAGCAGGCAAAAGACATTTTCCAGTGGCACTCATGGAGTATTAATGCATATGTATTGTATATAAGAAGCGCTGGCAGGGATAAGCTTTCTCGATCTCATGCCCGGTAAACTTTGCTATATGTATTGTACATTATGTCGGTATCTAATGTATGCCCGTCTGTCTGTCAGTCTACCTCTCATTCCTGTGTGTGTGTTTGTGTTGTGTACATGCTAACAGCACCTGGAGCGACTGGAGTCAGAGTGTTCGCGGTTCCACTCGTCCCACTGTGACATGGGAGACGAGGCAAAGAGTGTCTCGGAGCTACGGGAACAGTATCTCAAGTTTCTCGATATCATCAGGGTGAGTGGTGTCATGCAGTGTTTAGTGTAAGGATTGATGAAGCGATAATCGTCAGGGTGAATGGTGTGCTCCCAAGACGGTCTTTTACACTATTGACCCTGTTACTTATAGGCAACTAATGTTTTAATTTCTCTCATTAACAAATGTCTTCCCCACCCCTCCTCTTTTCCTCTCACTCCCTCCCTCCTCCACCTCCTCCATATTTTCCCACCTGACCCATTTCACTCCCCCAGCCCACGTGTTCCTCCATTGATGACGTCATCTCCTCTCTCCAAGGCCTCCAGTCGGCTCACTCTCCCCCTCCGTCTCCCTCCCTGATCACAGGGGTCACCCAGCTCTGCGAGGGGCTCAGGAAGAGGGTTGGGTGGTGGAGGGGAGGGTTCGCGACCCTCGCTGACACCCTCAACCTCTTCCTCTCCTTCTCAGAACTCTCGTCAAAGGTTTGTGACTCGGACACTGCAGATTGTTATAGAGTAGCAGCAGCATTTTTTGCACCTTAAATAGTGGTTGATAGGAAATGGCTATTCTTGAAATGTGCATACTTTATCCTCGACATAATGGGAAAAAAGCAACATTGTACGTACATGTCTGTATAGCAATGCACACAGATCGGCAGTTACCTAGTTTAGTAACAGTGTAATAGTGAAGGCATGCAACATGCATCTGCAGAAATACAGCACTAGCATCGCACTATGTAAGCCATATACATACATACGTAAGTGCTGGCACGGATAGTTTTCTTCATCACTGGGTTAAATATGCACATCTCGCTCCCGCTCTGTGTTACTTGGAAGAGTGTGTCCTAACCTGATACACAGAGGTTAAATTTGACATGTCTTGAATGACTGGTTATTTTCCTGATTTTTGGGTATCCCACATCGGTGAATTTTCACCTTAGCCAGATTGTGTCATGTGACTGTCATGTGATCCAGGTGGCCTCTGACCTCCAAGCCCTGGAGGACTCGTTCTGTGAGACCATAGACTCGGGTATCTCCATGGAGTCGGCTCAGGAGATGTTGGACCACTATCAGCCTCTGGCGGCTGGACTGAGGGACAACTATCCCGCCATGAAACTACTTGGTGAGCTCTTTACTCTACTGGAGAGATCAATAAAAATAATCGGTGTGGGAAATTTCACTGGGTATACTTTAAAAGTGAGATTACTTTTTTGCAATGTCTGTCCCTGTCTACCGAAACACATAAACGTGGGGTGAAGTGTTAGTGTGTTGGTTGTTGAAACCCTCTTCTTGTAGCCCTTTGCTTTTGCTGGGAATGCAATCTCGGGCGGGTTTTCGACCCTACCAACTTTCCCCTGATTCTCCCCATTAATTATCACATACACAAGCTTGTACCACTATTTTTGTCAAATCTGCACCTGTATCCTATGTACATACGTGTACGTATGGTATAGTGTTTACCGTGTGTTGGTGAACTGTTTACTGCAATGGAGTCTGCTTGCCGTGGCACTTGTCCGAGATATTCAACCCCAGCTGCCACTACATGTGTTCCTTGTAGCCTTATTGTGCCTCAATAGAGATATTATACACGGTCCTGTTTAAACACGGTCAGCAGGGGCCATAACTTCAGTTTGTGCTCATTGTCTGCAGCTTCAGTTATATCGCTTTCAGTATATAGCACAGTATACATACGTAACGTTTTACTTGTCTTTCCTTCTGTTGTGTGATATAAGGAGAGCAATTTCTGGAAACGACGTCCAAGATGGCCTCAGAGAAGTCGGCCCCGGAGCTGAGTGTGGGCGGAGCCTGTATCTCTGTTGCCATGGAGATGGGGGGCGTGGAAGGGCGGTACCCGGAGGCGCTTGAGGTGTGGTCTCATCGGGAGAAACAGCTCCAGCAGAGTCTGGAGTGGCAGAGTTTCCAACAGAATATTCAGCAGGTGGGAATAGCATATGAAAATGATTTTGAGTAGATTCGAGGTGAGTATAATGTAGTGATGCAAGAGGGTAAGCTAGGGTCTCTATGTACATAGGGATCCTTTAAGGTGTAAGAAAAGGTAGAGTTGTAACGTAGCTACATACGTACGGGCTAAATCAAGTATGGTAGGAGGAAATTTGGCAGTGCCTTGCCTCAGCCAGGATCAACTCTCCAACCATCCATTGCATCTTTCACCATGTCTCAGATACAGTACTGTCTACTGTCTAGTAGATACGTAAAAAAGGCGCTCTGTGTATGCACTAAAGTGCTCACTAAACTCCCTCGTGTTCTCCACACTACGTATGCAATTGTACCTTGAATTTCGGGATGGAGGGAGGGAGCCGGAAATGCTTTCATCTATAGTTCTAAGAATTGTTGTGGTGCCTCCACATGGATGCATATGTGGGGAAAACCTTGCTGATTTACACAAATGAAATAAACCTACATCATAAGTATGCATTAAGTACTGTAGTACTTGGTATGAAATGAGCATTGTACCTAAGATCATAATCTATGGCGATTATTGTGCATGTCTAATGCTGCTACACCTTTTTCAGTTATCGTCCTGGATGAAGACGGCCTCCGAGTCATTTCTGGTGCGCTTTGACCTCGGGACCTCCCTGGTAACCACGGAGGATCTGGAGATGGAATTCCAGGAATTCAAAGCCCGTGCTCAGGTGACTGTCACATGACAACTCTCATCTCTGATCTGTTGTGATGATAATTTTGATCATTTCGAATGCCATTTGTAAACTACATACAACGCCACGTCCCAACCCTGAAGTTTATAAAGCACATATATATGCTTCAACCCCTCCGTGCAAAACAGCCGGAATAAGCCAAGTGTGCTGTATATACGTACATTCCCTGATACCAATGGGACAGGAATGTGGTGAGCTGTCTTATAGCAGGGGCTAAATTGAATGCAAGAACTGTTGTGAGAGGTAAATATTGGAGAGGTGTAGTACATATAAGCGGTGTTGAGGAGTTCCACTACAGTCACTGCAGCGAAAGTGTGTCTTAATCTCCCCTCCCTGTGTGTGCATGCTACCAGGTGACGACAAAGGAGGTGGAGTTGGCTCTGGCCCAGTCGGAGAAGATGCTGGGAGGGAGCCACTTTGCAGCGGCCAGTCTGCGAGAGCTGTCCTGGAGCCTGAGGGAGCTCCTGGAGGACTTCACTGCCCGCACCAGAGAGAGAGAGAAGACACTGCACGAGGCCGCCGACTTCTTCAGGGCCTCTGAGGAGGTGAGCTTGTTTGCTCTGTACATAGGGTTCTTTCAGAAATGCCAACGTACATACGTACATGTATGTACACACCTTTTATTGCAATGCGGGAATGTACTGTGTAAGTGGGGTTGCCTGACTGTGTGCGTACTTATGTACACTAAGGGTGTTTTGATGAATCTGTGTGCAGACGTGTTTGCACAAACTTGTACTATATACACCCATGTGTCAAAACCGAACTTGTACTATGTACCCAAGTATCAAAACAGAGCATTTTTGTTACGTATGCCTCCTGTCTTAGTTACACATGTGTGTGCTCTGTTGTGACTTTCTGTGCCTTGTTTTGGCTTGCTCTGCCTCTCTCTGCTAGCATGACGGTATATGTACCTATTATATAGTTTCGTGCGTGCATTTCATGTTGTTTGCATGTTTACCCAGTTAAACATTTTTAGACCGGCTGGACCCCATCATGTGCTATGGTGTGTGTTGATCAGGGGCACAGTACTTCTCTAGTCTCCATACAACATCATTTATTTGCAAACACCCCACAGCCATCATTTGACTGAGAGTCCCCATGCAAACATGCACACTAGACACTGGTGGTACCTTGAACCAGAGCCAAACCTATTGGCTAGCCCAGTCCCAAATGACCTCGTCTGATGCCTAATATAGTCAGGAGAAGCTGGGCTACCTGAGGAGATGTTTTCGGAGCTATTTCATTTGTTGGATATACGTACCTCCCATCGTGTCCCATAATCATCGCATGCCCAGCCGCCTTTCAGCGTGGGAATCCAGCGTGATCCAAAATACACATGCATGCTACTGTATGTTATGCATGCTGTTCATGGAGCGACATAGTTAGCAGGTTGCCACTGGACATTCCTGTGGCTTGGAATAATCTCATGTGTGTGGCATTGTGTATGATTCGGGGATGCTTTGCCATATGGCCCCCTCGAGAGTTCAGTCATAGCATCATGCACACAGTAATACAGTCGATGATACACATCAATATTGTATGTCGTGTGCCTTCAGCTGACACATATGATTTATGATGCAATAGAGCTTCTTGCCAAGCCTGGCAGAGCAGTGTAGTAGTGTGATGGGGGGGCCCCCCACTCATTTGCCACATTAAGTACATACAACTGCAGCTTTGAGAGTCTAAAGTACTACATACAGTGTACTACATGTGCATACGTATATGTCACGGTGCACATGAGCTATGCGGTTGTGCACACACATGATTGCATGTGTAAACAGGAATGCGTGTGCAGTGTAAGCAGACTTGGGCAGGGCAGTGTGTATATAGATCAAGCCTCCACATAGCTCTGGCTCAGTAGCAGCTCGAGAGCTAATTGCTTGCAAACTGAGTCCTCAAGAACCTTTGTTTGAAGGCTGCAGAGATCTGCTACAGTTTTTTACTTGTCAAGGAATGACTACAAGTATGCAGATCAGTAAGTCTAGCTATCGTGTAGAATGTGTAGATCTGACTCGTGTCCATGTGAATAGTTCGTGGTGTATAGTGTGTCATATGACCTACGTATATGGAGTACTGTGTACTTAGTCTTAGTGCATATACATACATACATGAATGTATACAATGTGTATATAGCAGTGTGTAAGTTTGGAATTCACTGTAAAATGAGCAGCTCTATAGTGGTGGGACTGCCTGGTTACCACATTAGAGCATGGTCTGTGTGTTCATGTGTGTGTGTGTGTACTCCTATACCTGTGGAGTAGCTTTTGTGTTTCCTGATTGCCGGTGTGCAAACTTCACCTGCCATGAATGTGACTTGAATGCATGCTATTCCAGTGGACTTGTTATCTTGTTTACATAAACGTTCCTGTGGGTCTTTGTGATGCATATATACAACCATGAAGTTCACACAATACATATACTTGCTGCACACACTGCTCTGTTCACAGTTGCAAAATGACATGAAAGATGTCATTGCTCGCTGCAAGGACTCACCGTCAATAGTAACTATACGAAAGGAAACCTCGTTGCCGAGTGTCTCTTCTCGCCTCGTTAACCTCCAAACTGCAGGGACAAACCTCGTTAGCCTCGGAGAAGGCAGGAAGAAGGGGTCGGTCCGTGGGAGAAAGAGGAAACTAATCAGGAGTGATTCCTCGGGGGCCACCGAATTCTCCCTCAAGCAGACTCTGTCAGGACTGCAGAGCCTCTACGCAGAGTACAAGACAGCTCTAGAGGGTAGAAAGGTCACCACTGGGGCCTCGCTCACCAGAAAGGGCACAGAGAAGAAGAGGGCAGCCGAGAAGAGAGAGGGAGGGACAGAGAGAGAAGTAAAGGAACGTAGTCCGGCTGTTGTCCTCCGGAGAAAAGAGCGGAGTGATCGTCAGCTACAGTCCGGGGACATCCCCATTGAATTAAAGAGGAAGAGCTGGTCGTTTCAGCGGAGGGAGGGAATCCAGCTCACCAGCCGTTGGGAGAACAGAGACTCAAACAAGAAGTCGACAGTCGAGTCGAGATCGGCCGCACGACAGACAGTCAAGTCGGAGAAACTCAACCGCGGCGGGTCTAGCGAGGAGGGTTCATCTTTCAAACGCAGCTACACTCTTCCCGGTCACTTTCGCGGCTGGCGGGCTCCTGGTCTCAGCGTCCTAGAGAAGGCGGCAGCTTTCTCAAAGGTGACGGAAGGTACAGGTCTATCTGCTCCGTACGGCCTACACAAGGCCTCCGCTACTAAAACCAGACGCCCGAGCCTCGACGGTAGGGAATTGGACAGTAGAAAGTCTGAGTCTCAACCCAAGACAGCAACATCAGACAACGTAGCAGGCTCGTCCTCTACGGAAAAGAGTGTGGGAAAACCTCCAGCAGTCCAGACTGCAGTTGTCAAGACCGTCATATCCACACAGGAGTCGGTCAAACGAGTGTCTCTGATAGACGTGGACGTTTCCAAACCCCAACCCACCGCCGACTCTGAGTCTCGCGGACCTCCTCTTACACGAGTGGTGAGTCCTTCCACGCAGGTCCTGCCGTTGGAGCAGGAGGCACCGCCACGTGTAGTGAGCCCCGAGCCACACAAACCAAAGACCACTGCAACACCAGTCACTCTTTCGACAACCACCACCACCACCTCCTCCTCAAAGTCTCTGGCCACAGTGACCAAGAACTCACGTAGGAGCATCCAGAATCTCAAGATTGCCGGGAAAGTCTCTCACCTGAAGCACGTCTTTGACCGACAGGAAGAAGAGGTTGCCGAGTCAGCAGGGAAACCCCCGTCAACGACCACTTCGCCTAGAACAAGAGAGATGGAGGGACGACTGTCACCCGACATTGTTCCTAAGGTGTCAGAGAGTGCAGAGATAGCTGTAAGCGATGCTGGGCTCACAATGGCAGACAGACCCATCCCCTCACCTGATATCACACCCAAAGAGACTAGCTTCCCGGTTAGAGTTCCACTACCACAGCCAGCAGAGGCAGAGACAATTGAACCTCTAGAAGAGAGAGCAACTGTGAAGAGTGAAGTAGAGGTCAGAGTGGAAGCTATAGTTGAGAAAAGTCCAGTGAAGGAGGAAGAGGCTAGGGCAACGGTTGGATCTCTTTCTCCGCACCATCCTGAATTGCCTCAGACTAGCTCGCCGGAGGTTAAAACTCCGCCTCCTCGTCCTCCGTCTCCCATCGGCTACATTCTTGAGGACAGCAGCGATGGAGAAAGTTCCTATCAGTCGTACGACACTGAGTACTCTGACGAAGAAGAAGAGGATGAAGAGGAGGAGGAGGAGGAGGAGGAGGAGGAGGGAGAGATGGAAGACGTGGACAGTGGGACCATTAGCAGGAGAACAGCCAAGACTCTGCAGTATGTTTTTGACCCTGTCTGCTAGTGTGTGTCTCTACCCCACATACCCCTCATCAACCTCGCGACCTTCTCTCTCTTTTTCCTGGCTCTTTCATATCTTCACCTTCCTCTTGTTTCTTTACTCCTCTCTTTCTTGCACACATGCACACACACACTCTCTCTGCCTTTATAATATTCCGTCCACTCTCCCTACCTCAATACTTTTGTTAACTCCTCTTCCTGTCATACACCACCCAGAGCTGTCACTCAAGCCCTGATGTCCCAGGAGCTCAGCTATCTCCAAAGTCTGGAGATCCTGGCAGAGACCTACCTTCCCTCTCTCACCAAGACCCACGTCCCCTCATTCCTCCAGGGAAGAGGACTCAAGATCTTTGCCAATGTCGCCGACCTCTATGAAGTACACAGGTCAGTGCATATGAAGGTTGTAGCTTTTGCTTCATGCTATCAGCCAAATGTACAATGTATATGTACATGATTGTAATTACACGTCGTACACCACAAGACAAGCAGATGATGTTTAGTGAGATAATGGCTGCTCCACTGCACACGCTATTCTTTCCTTGTCATGCTATATCTCAACTAGGAATGGTCACGCAGGTTGTATTTGGCAGATTGCGCAATGACAAGCTAGTCCCTGCTTGTTATTGGAAGCGCTCAGCATGTTGAGGCTACAGCTCAACTGAGTGCACACTACCATTAGGCAGCTTTATCCTGTCTCTCCTTCCTCTTCCAGCATTGCAATGTGCATGCACAGTCCCTAGCCCAACAGGAGTGCAGAGCAATTAGGCACATATAATTAATAATTAATTGACATTCCTAAGTGTGACGTCACACATATGGTAATAGTTTAAAGCCAATGTGCTTGGGAACTAATGTTGCACACAACACAAGATTATACTTATACTGTATGTGCTGCATCTCCCAGGACGTTCTATGCAGAGGTGAGCAGTGGAAAGTTGGACACACCCCTGGCCATTGTAGAGTCATTCTGCCAGGCCCTGGTACGGAACCAGGACAGCTGGAACCAGTACCAGACTTTCCTCCTCAACATGGAACAGGGACAGCGGGTCCTGTCTCAGTATGGAGGGACCTTCTTCCAGGTAACCCTTCTCCAAACCCTCCTTATACCTGTATATGTACAGTGTGTTACTTTGCCCGAATAAGTGGAAGGAGACTTGTTCCCGACTCAGAGGCCGTGGGATGGGTTGAATTTAGGGGGAAGGAGTCGTGGAGAGTTGTGGGTTCAAATCCTCAGTCTAACCTTTTCTGTCTTCTTATATCATTTTGACATATGTACATACGCCCCACTTATTCATTCCGTCAAGTTGTACTGGTATAGAGTCATCTTCTGGGTGTAGTTTTGCTGTTTGCTTGTTTCCCTTGCCTTGTCAACCTCGTACTTTGTGACCTCGTCATAGAGTACAACGTCATTGTTATCAAAGGGCAGGGTTCTGCTCATTACGTTGTTAAAGTGGTTGAAAGAACTATGGTAATGGAGAGGAGAGCTTTTGCCAAATTACATGTAGTGGTATAAAGAACTCTATGTCTGTACAATCATCATGTGTAATTGGGGCATGCATATACATGTGTATACGAGTAGGTACACGTGCTAGGCTGTGTCGCCATATTGGGCAGTAATGTCATAAGAGAGAGAGTTGTTGGCAGCTCGCATTCCCTTGGGAGTGACGGTCCCATGTATTTCTGTTTGACTGCAAAAGCAGAGCTTCATATCTGAAGGCCACGTGCCGATGTTATTGGACATCTTAGCTGGGTTCATTACAGTGTTTGTTAACAGTGCTTAATGCAAATCCGTGGATTCAAAACCACTAACAGAACGAAAAGGAGCCTGAAGAGGGAGAGAAAGACAGAAAAAGAAAGAAAGAAAGCAGGAAAGGCCCTCCCTCCTCCTTCCTCTTTTTCCTCTCCCTCCCCTTCCTCCCCCAGGAGGTCCAGGCCAGTATAGGTGATAATCACACTCTGGAGGAGCACTTTGTCAGGTATGTAAACTTTCTGGCTCAGACTTATTCTATGTTCAATATCTATTGCATGCATGAGTTCCGTGGACCTAGTTTTATGGTCTGTTAGTCTTATCATTTAATGAGCCAATTTCTTTGCCAATCCTTTCAATTTGGCTTCAGCTTGTCTATTTCCGATTTCTCCCTCTTGTCAACTTCCCACTGCAGACCAAGAGATCAGCTGATGAGGTATGACAGAATTCTAAAGGACGTGGTGATGTGTGCACAGAAAGAGTACCTCCACGGAGTGGGCATTGCCAAGGTGTGTATAATTATAGTACTGCATGTTGTACTTATGAGTGTGATACGGTTGCCTGGTGTGCAGCGGAAAAACTGGACTAGTGTTGTTCGTAGGTGTACATTGCTGTATTGGGTGTGGCTTCATGGAACACACGCACTGTTGTAATGTGTGCAAACAGCACCGGCTGTGGGTTCATTCTTATTGCCAGCTAATTACCCTCTCGTTCATAATGATAACACACCCTTTTATTTCAGTCACTGAAGGATCTATACTTCCTCTTTAGCCATGTTAACTTTTACTGTGTGTGTGTGTGCATGTGTGTGTGACAACATTCACATCTTGGCATATGTATGAACAAGTTGAACTATAGTAATTAAACCGTGTCTTTTCCCTTTTACAAAGTGAGAATTCATTCACAGTAGGAGGGTTAATGTGTACATCACATGGTCTATTGTTACATGTATATAATTATGTGTATACGAGTAGGTACACGTGTCATGGAACACACATGGAACTGTTGTAATGTGTGCAAACTGGGTGTAGTTGACTTGTTTGCCCTTTCTGCCTCTTTACCAAGTTGTTGAGACATGTATGTCCAGCATATCCATATATATAGCCTATTCACTGTTATGATAACCATCCACTGTTATGATAACCATCCATGTCATTGCAGGATGCTCTCAGGGTTATTCAAAACATCCTCCATGCCACCAACAATGCCATAGCAATGGGAAAATTGAGGGGATGCCCCATCTCGTTAGACAAAACGGGTCTCCTGATGACAGAGGAGTTCAACATGTACACCACGAGAGAAGAGAAGAAGAAGGTGGTGAGGGAATGGTCGTTTTCCTCGACCGGCGAGCATGTACCTCGTCTTTGCCGCCGATCTCAAGCAGGAGTCTGACTACTGGGAAAAACTATTGAGGTGCTTGGTGGGAATTTTGGTGTCGTATTACTACTATGGCGTAGTTCTTTTCTATCGTTATCGCAGCCTCTATTCCTCCCCACCCTCATCATCTTTGTGCGCCGTACCTTCATTCCTGGTCTCCATTCTTTCTCTCTCATTCAAACTATTGACAAAGGTCATGACAGACCAGAGAGGAACACAAATCTTACGCCGTTCAATATAAGGGAGGGGTGAACTAGTACATAGAAACATATAAAACACACCAAATCATGAAGTAATTCCATCGATCATATCTCATCTCACTCCACTTTTTTCTTTCTCTCTCTTTCTCGCTCTGTTCTTGCCTCTACCTCTCCTCCCTCCTCCTCCACCAGGACCACGTGCTCTCCATTTCTGATGGAGACCTACAAGGCAGGAGGATCGATTTTGCCCTCTCCCCTGGTCCCCCCACGCGCGGCCCACTATCTCTACGCCCTCGCAGCCCTATCACCTGACACCAGGATCAAGAGCTGCCTGGGTCGACCTGCTGCGACTCCTTACTACGCCAGGGACGCCAGGTTGTTTAGAGACAACACGCCTATGTGTAACTAAAGATATTTATCCCTCAATAGTTACGCAAGTAGTGCAGGCACTCGGAAACCAATTCTCTGCTGTAAAATATTTTCGGATATTCGTGAAAGTGACAACGGATAGTACCATGAAATTGCGGCAGCAACAGCATGATATTATCTCTATATGTCATGCTTCTGCAGTATATTCATCTTAAAGTCACAGGAGCCTAAAACGTCCCTAAAGGGTCTTCTATAACCCCTGATCTGCATACACCAGGCCACATTACAAAATGTAGTAGTGGCGGGCAGGCAACCCATCCCACCACAACATCTACTGTCCTCAACCCCTAAAACACACACTACTGCTGTGAACACTACTGAGATGTGATCACAACCCAAGAACCCTTGTGACACATGCACAGTTTCAACGCTTACTGGATCAGACGGAACTGGATGTGCATCTTTGTCAAACCATACTCTGACAGGAAGGTTTACATGCACACGGGTTGCTGGAGGATACGATGTTTATAAGTGCTGAAGTGACGGCGTTCGTGTTTTGCGTTTTCTTTATCTCATCCACACCCAGATAAACACTGTTGTCCGAAGCATTTTTTAAATTCTAATGTGATATGTATAATCTCTATCTTCCTCCCTCCCCCCTCCACATCGTCCTTCCGTGTCCTCCTGGTCGCTGTGCAGCATTCTCTGCCACTGCCGAGGCCTCCGCCACTGCCCTAATACCTACCAGACTTCAAAGAGACCGGTCCCTCTACCAGGAGGGAGAATGTGAGGAAGGACACTGACACTCAAGAGCAAGGATCACTCAACGCTCCCTCTCTCTCAAGTGGGTACTACCACATTAGCATCCCCTTTTCTATGAGCTCGCACTGCATTGTATATACCCCTGAATGTGTATGTACTATGCCAATAGATTTACACATTCGCATACGCAATTGTAATATATAGAGTGGAAAACTGCTTTATCAACACAATTGAATCGCTCCATTAGTGTGTAAGATTCGAAATTTCCCCTTTCCACAAAAGGGTTGGCTAATTCCTACATGTACCGTCTTAATAGTTTCCATACTCACTCTAATTGGACCTATATACATACATCTAGGTAATCACTCTGTCCTGTGGATATATCCAGGAAGAAGTCGTCGGTGAGGGAGACAGGGAAAGGAGTGCTCCCCTGTGAAGGGCGTGGACCTCGTTTGGTTAAAAGAAGGAGCTCGTCATCAAGAGAAACAAAGGTGACGTAACTACAGAAACGTTGTTTTTTATTTTTTTTTTTTTTTTTTCACACGTAACGTATTTGCACTCTATTAGAGAGCACCGTACAGGGGGTCAAGGGAAGTGTTACGGTACACTCTTCTATTACAAGTATGAGTCACAACAAATAAACAGAAAGTTAAACGTTACTCTTGCGAAGTTTACTTACGCTTTCGTAACTATCTAGTAAACCTTTAGGAACTTTTCAGTCACTGTAGGTCACTCAGAGTACTCTGAAGTCCCTGTAAAATTACCGTGTAGTAACTTTCTAGTCACGGTAATGTTATCGTGGAGTAACGTGAAGTAACAAGTCTTTACCCTGGCCCCTTAGCTCTGTCCCTCTACTGTGAACTGTTCTTTGGTTGCGCCTGTCTACACACACGGCTAGCCTCGCACTGGTACCGCGGCCGCCTTTTTCGTCCGCTTTCTCGAGTTTCAAGTTCGACCGACGGCCTAGCCGCTGCCTCTTCCGCCTGCCTCTCAGCCGGTCGTGTTCTCGACTTCTGCGCATCCATGCTCTTTTCGTAGCCCATGACAACGCGTGCTTCCGGTCCGGAGGGCGTGTGGTTTTCGCTGAGCTGCGTCGTTCCCGTGGTGCTTTCGTCAGTTTCACCCTGTCTTCTAGCGCCCCTCCCTTCTTGTGCGTCGCTCTCTACCCCCGCGTCTCTGCCTATGCGTGCTTCCCGAGCTATCGGTGCAAAAGCCTGTCACCGTCTGCTGGGGAGCGACATGTAGCCCGAGGATCTAGCATAACAGGGCGGACTCAGACTGTAAGTCTAACCCCATTCTTCCGTGAAGACTGGCGTGAGTGTGATGTGTGGAACATGGGCCGCTTGGTGTAACGTTGTGTACCATCCAGTTTATACTTTCAGCTTGCTTCCTAGTTGGTACATCTGAAGTTACGCTCGGTTACTAGTTAATATTAACGTCAGGGTACTCTGTGGTAACTCTGAAGTTACGCGCAGGTACTAGTTGAGTTCCCTACACTTGCTGCTAGTTACTTTCAGTAACGTAACTTTCACGGTAAACCCTTACTTCGAGTAACGTTACTTTTCGTTTACTTTTTGCGACTCATACTGTACATACCGATTCACCATATCCTCTAATAGAGTGGCAAGAGTTTTTAAAAGAAGAAGTAGATGTAATACATCCAGTATATATATACGAGCGCCTTGTCTCTTCTCTGGCACTTGCTGCACATCGTACACGCCGAGAGTAAACAAGTCTTCACAAACAACACGTATGTGTAAATTCATACTATGTTACGTATACGTAAGTAATGATTATAGATACATACATTACACATGTGCATTGTCTCTGTAAAACCACAACCACAGGGTAGTCTGCGTGCGGCCACCATAAATACAAAAACAACATGGCAGAGTTATAAACAAAGTGGTGCGCAAAATCACTGTGCACGTCATACTACATATACGTATGGTGGTCATTATTTTATTAATGTCACTGTATGAGCTGGTTGCTGACTTTTCTGCCAGCTATAGCCTGACTAGTTACAATTGAATTGAGCATTGCATTTTAAAAATCTTCTTTGGTCAAATTATTTGTACGTATTTAACAACCAAAACAATGTTACAGACACATGTCAATAGAAATCAGAGTCTTCCTGCATCACGGTATCTCCTGATATCCCCTGTACCTTCTGGAGAGACACAGTCCACACCATTTGCCATGTCACTCATGCCTCCTTGCATGCGCAGCGAGGGTTACATAGTTCGTTCTGTCGGTCTGTCTGTCCGCGCGAGTTCTCGCACTACAGGCTACGAGGCGGCCAATGAGTGGCACCAACGGGTTTGAACAACGAGAAGATTAACATGGCGAATTCCTGAAACGACTGCGTTCCAGAGATATGGCTTGAAAACAGCCAACGTGGCGATCCATCGCTCACGCGCCCTCTCCGACAGGCTATATAGCGCGCACGTCGTCATGTCATTATTCACCGGAGCATGCGCTACGCACGTGGTTGTATATTATACGATACACGGGCCTTTCTGTCAGTTGTGATCTCTGTTCACTTTGTATGAACATGCTAAGCAAGGTATGTATGTTCGCAATGTAGCATAATAGTTCAGTTGGCTAGCAGTTGTGGCTGCGACCTTGTCCTCCCATCTATAAAACGTCTGTGTGAGAGCATTGAAACACAGAAGAGCGAATAAAGCAAATATGAGAGCCTCTGAACACCTGAGCCTTCTCTAACCGCTAATGCAACTAGCTACCCTGTGTTACGGCGGACTCGTGTACTGGCTCAGTCGATGACGCACGGCCCAGCATACAGCGATGCTACACTTAGCGCCAAGGGTTTGCACTTTAGTGGAAATGTTGAACGTTGTTGGCAAGCGGGAGCGACCCAACTTGGATTTGCCCACGATGTTGGAGCTGCATAACGTGCTGTCAGCGCACGCTTTTCTTTCCTTTCGTGAAGCAAGATAGCTTACCTGTCACCGTTCCATGCGTACTGTAGCATATTGCCAGACGGTGCCACAGGTGAGCAGACGGTACTTACCTTATGCTTTCAGCTCGTCAGTCGTGGTCCACCAGGCTGGCATTCAGCAGTATATGCACGAGCAATCCTAGCTATAAGTTGCACCAGTCACCGAAGATTGCAGCGCATGCCGTCGAATGGAGGAGAGTTCTCTCGCTGGCTAGATGGATCGGCGCATATCGCGAGGCAGCATGTGTATAAACATTTGGAAATGATTTCCGATAAAAAGAAGCGCGTAACGAAGCCGTGCATCCGCTCTTACATGACGTACCCGGTCGTATGAAAAATCAGCTCGAACGGACGACTAGGTTGGCTCGCTCCCACTCGCCAATTAAGTTAAGTCCAGGGTTGATTCCTACAAGAGAAGCTAGTCTATGACACTCTAGTCACGTGTTGTAGTGCACGATTTGTTCATGTGTGCACCAAGTGTTTCTTCCTTAGTGAATTAGATACATAGTGAATTGGACAGTATGACAAGATTATGCAAAAGGAAACAATAATAATGAGTGTCATTAGTGTGGTGATGCCTACTATGTGCAAAGGAGTGGCACTGACTACTAAGAGAGGAGTTAACACTAAGAGTGAGCAATCCAGACAGTGTTACATTATACCATAATTAATGTCATAAAACAACTTCTTGTCTCATGGTGCCAGGAGCTCCTGGTAGCCCCTGCGCCTTCTGGAGAGACACCGTC